CCTGCTGCCACCTATAGTCTGCAATGATTGCACATTTGCTATTTCAGAAAAGAGAGGTAATATTTCCAGAGAAATCAGCTAGAGTAGTATGTAGTGGATATATATGAATAAATATAGTATATGATGCCCTCTTGATTCCAACTGAAAATATGAAAAAGTTCATAGTTTGGGGTTTTGTTTTGAATTGTTGGGGTTTTTTTTCCTTTTTTCCCCCTTTTTTTCAAAGAAACCACATTATTAATGTGCAGAGCTCTGGGCTTTAGGGATCACTTGGATTCCTGGAGAGTTTCAGTTTTGTCTTTCTCCAAGTTAAAGCACATTTTAAATATGTCAGGGATGAAAGCCAATCACAGAAAAAATGAAATATTAAAAAAAGCTCCCATCCCTTGTGTCCAACTTCAAAGCAGATTTGTGCTTAGGACTGGGTAAGACAGTGAGCGAAAGAATGTTATTCAGTCAGAGGAACTCATTGTTTGCTTAGATCTTCCTCCTTTTTCCCTCATCATAAGCAAGATGCTTCATGGCTGCGCACATTCAACTCTAGCTGTGCCCAAGAGCTCATATCCCTCTCCCTGCAAAGGCAATGTCTCCATTTAGGTAATTCTACTCAGGCATATTTTCTGGGCATATTTTAGTATAACTTTTCTGGTCTCAGCATAAAGGTGGGGGAAGAAAAGCTGCTAGTCACAGATGCTGAGAGTACTGTTTTGGCAACAGATGTTAAGGTTAAAGGCCAAGCCATTTAAAATATTGATTGATTACATATATTTGCAAGCTAAGATGGTCAATGCATGAAGAGGCCCAAGATGCACAGTCCTGAAGTGAGATATGCTTCCAGGAGTAGTCATTCATAACAGCTCCAAAGGCTTCTGTGTGACTTCGGGTACTCAGAATGTTATATCTCACTGCCGAAAAAAAGGAAGAAAAACTGTAGAAGAAGTGAAATTGTAGAGGTATTGAAAATTATACTGAGCCTGAAATAGCAACTGCTCTTCCTCTCTTGACTTCTGCTGTAGAGCCCCCTAGTTTGCTGGGCAAAGGGATCCATGCAGTAAAGACAGCATTTCTCTGTCAAGTCTTCCTTTCTGTTAGGGCTTGGCAGTGGGAAAGGCTTTGTATCTTCTGCAGATACCTCCTCCTTCCCTGACCAAGGCAGTTCACTCTCTCTCTGCCTACCATTGCCAGTATTGCCTTCTAAAAGCACCATCTTTGGGCTTAACGTCCAGTAACATACTGTTAGGTAGTCATGGAATCAGAGTTGACAGCAGCTCTAAACTTAAAAGTGTATCAAGTCTGGAACAAAAATACACATATTAAAACTTTTTACAGTCAAAACGAATTCCAGTAGCAGCATAAATGGCTGATAGCATTCATAATGCCTAGAACAGTACACCCTGCACAGGGCCCATGACCAGAGAAAGATCTGTCCCTCTGAAGAAAATAATGTTCTGTTGGAGTGCCCTTTTTTTGCACTGCATAAGAGAAATAACTTTTAACTTTAAATAACTACCAATTTGGTTCTCAGTGACTCAACAGAAATGACTAATGTCTCACTGCAGACTCACATGGAATCTCGTATAAATCCCGTCTCCCATTGTGTGTGACACATGGCCCTCGAAATACTCTTAATTACAGGCAGGCACCCCATGCAAGCGAAGCAAGTCAACAATAAGGTTGATTCTTTGTGTTGGCTTGTGTTTCAGCTTTTTCACTATCCAGAAGCTTCAGGGATGGATGCAGCCCTCATCTGAATGGTAGGCTGTGCAGGCTCAGCACCCGACCCTGGAGCACACATTGCTCGGCCTGATGCCAGAGCAGCCTTGCAGCTCCCCCATTCCTCCCACTGGCCTTGGGTCTGAGGGATGCAAAAATCAGGACTCTGGGTTTGGTCTCATCTCCCTAGCAAGCAAGGCTTTATGTCATGATTTTGCTCCCCTCTCTATCCCCATGTGTGAGTGCCCTTCCCCACAGTATTTTTAAAAATTCGTTAGTGAAGCTAAACCACATTTGACAAACACGTCAGAGCTAATTGCATTCTGACAAGTTTCATGAACACTGGCAGCTGAATACCTGAGAGTGGCACCCAAAATTAGCATTCCCACTGCGGGAGAAACAGGCAGGGCTCAACTGTGACACATGCTGCTGGGCAGCAGGCTGCACACGTGTGGCGTCACATTTGTCACAGCGTCACAGAGGATACGGGGAGGGCTAGGTTTACCCTGCCATGCTTCAGCCGATGTTGCGGTGGGCTGCCGATCTAGCAATGCCAGGAACAGGGGGTGTCGATGCAAGGGAACCAGCAGCTTCTGGGGTGAGGCAGCATAAGTTGCGGTGTGGAAAGGGGGTCAGGGGGACAAGAGACATCCATGTGTCAAACCGAGGGTGAGTAAGGGTGTTGTGGTAAATAAAGACATAGGAAAAGGAAAACTCACTGATGAACAAGCCCTACAAGCCTCAGCACACATAAGCTCCAAGCAGGGGTCTTTTCCAGAGAAGGTGTGATCAGTAAGTCAAAAGATGGATAAACTCAGGGTGAATGGAAGGAGTCCTATTTTAAATAGGAGAGGAAACCCACAGCAGTACATCTTTTCAAGCCCAAGAGTGGGCAATTGGTGTCCACCCTGGTAGTTCCACAGGTGGGTAAACTCCTGCGTGGCAGAATCTCAGGGTGGTAGGGATTCTGGTTTCATTTGGATTCCTAAGGGGGTGGATTTGAGTGCATGGCATCATGCAGAACTGACACAGATGTGTAGGGTGGTTTTCTGAACATTTTCTTTCTTCTCTAGAGGGGCAAGCTGATTGTAGGTACTCTGCTGCTCCAACCCCTAACATTCTGTGACTGTGATTCTCTTCCACCACAAGCAGAGAGTTGAACTATCCTCAGCAGCTGAGACAGTGTGGAAGGGGCCAGGAGAGACCTTTCATGAACTTCAGCGGTGGGATTGTAAGAGAAACATTTGACTGTGTTTACTGGCTACCACACTGCTAAAACTACCTTTTGAGGAGTTTTGAGTTTTTTGGTTAGGTTATTGACAGAAGCCAGGATTAGTCTGCTAGCATTAGAGAGCATAAACATCTCTTTTTAGGTTCAGTAGTTTCCTTCAGGCTGTGCTGCCAATGTACATGAACTGTGTGTAGGAAATATGGCTGAAGTGTGAAATGACACTGTACAGTCAAGGTCAAATTGGTATTTGGCTCATCTTCCAAGCCCGGTAATTAATGTATGAACAGTGAAGATTTGGGGGAAGTGGAAACTATTGTATCATAAAATAGACTGAAGACACCAGTGGAAAAATTACATTTTCACAATGTAGCATCCTAGCTGCCGACTTACTGTTATCAGAAGAGGGTTTGAGAAATAAATCCTAGCATCACCTGGGAACATCTGACTTCCTAAAGCCCCTTCTGTCTGGCTTTCAGTGCACAAAGCAAGTTGGTTTCCCTGGCTGGTTGACAAATGTTCTGTCTAGCAGGAGACAGAGATGATGTGGTTCATTTTTGTTGCTTTAGATCTGTCAGCAGCTGAGGACTCATTGTTCATGAGAGATTTTTGACTCATCTGAAGTCCCTGACAAAGGTGGCTGGAATCTCGCCTTAGTGGGTCTGCCCTTCAATCACAGAAACAGCTGCTGGCCTTCAGCTGTGTCTTACCCACCCAGAGGGCTATCACATTCTCTAAGGCTCCAGATTTTCACGATGCTTTCTGTTTGTTCCATGTCACTGTGAGGATTTGAGACAAGTGCCATCCCGAACCCTGTCAGTGGCAACGGGACATGTCCCAGCATAGCTCCATCTTCCTGAGTGTGTCGCTCTGCACACAGTGAGGGGGAGAGGGAAGTTGAAGGCTATACAGGAGGAGAGAAGGCAAAGAAACTAGGCCTCAGCAGGGGCGTGGGGTCTTCTGTGCTGTAGCTGGACACTGTGGGAACTGGCAAACTTCATTTGCTCCCCACAGCCTTCAGAATACAGTGGCTGCTCTAGTCTTCTGTGTGCAGATTCCATGGGAGGCATGTCGCGCTGGGCCAGAACTCTAGGAGACGCATTGTAGACAAACCTTAAGAAGTGAGAAGGGCAGAGAAACTGAGAAATGGAGTAGACTTTTCCAAGAATTGCACTTAATAGGAGCCAGTCCTTAGTTCCCCCTGCCATGGGGGCGGCATTTGCAAACTGTTCTTCAGGCCAGGCAGCAGGTGCTTCTGCCATCTCCCCTTACTGCAGAGACCTGCCCTTGGAGCAGCCGTCACGCCGAAAGTCAGTATCGAGGCCCTGACCCCTGGAGAGCCTGAACTGCCTTAGTGCATGGCTTACCCTTTAGAAAGGAGACTGTAAGAAAAAATCCTAATCCCAGCATCTTAATCCAACAGTCGTGCACAAAGCTTCCTCAACAAAGTATGTGACTGAGGACATGACAGACCTGTGATTCTTGGTGCCTGACTGCCATGGTAAAGGAGAGTGGCTAGAATCCTAAAAAAGATGAACCCTAAATGCTCTTTCACTACCTCTGTGTAGTAGTAAATCTTTGGGTTTTGTGGCCTCGTTAAAGAGTTTTCTTCACTCCTCTTCACATTTCCTTTACTGAGGTTTCATTTGTATCAGTATGTGATATTTTTAAATGACTTAGGATGTCTAGCAGCGTACTAATTGAAAGTCAAATTAAAAATTCTTAAATGAACAACAAAAACCCACCCACAAATTTTGGTCCCCCTTACACAAACACAGTGCTCCAAGTTCAGTGTCTAATGTGATGCTGGTAAAGTATCATGTACCACTCTGCTGCCAATATGAACTCCATCATTCTGCAAACAGCGAGCACCCTGAATTCTCAGAAGTATGGTGAAGGCGAGCCAGGAGTCCTGCCAAATCCTGCCAGCTGCTAGGAGGAGTACTTACAGGTCTGTAGTCACAGCTAGAAAGAAGTGTACCATCTGAGAGGAGTGCAGGAAAGACACACGTGTACTGGGTCTCTGAGTGGGTGGCTCGCCCTGGCAGTATGACTCCCCCAACAGCGGTGTGTCTCAGCATCGGGTGAGTGGTAGGGAAGGAGTTGGGAACTCTCAAGGAATTACTTGGTTGCTTCTTTCCCTGCTTATTTTATTTTGCAAACTGATGTGTGTTCACAGGCATGTACAGTGGTTCCAGCGCTAACCATAACGGCCCCTCACCAGGCATATTGCCGCCTCCTCATGACATCCCTTCAAGACACCATCCACTCGACTCTGCCCTTTCCAGTCCACATCACCATCAGTCGCCACTGGAGAGTGCCAGGGAAGGGTACGTGTGTGAAACATGCTTGGCCTCTGTCTGGCATGATAATGAATGATTAATTGTTGATTTTACTTTGCATGCATGCTGTTCAAATGGAAAACACTGGCCCAAACTAAGCAATTTGGTTTAGTTTAGAATCAGAATAATTTAGTTTGGAAGGCACCTCAGAAAGTCATGTGGTCCATCCCCAGGGCAAAGCAGGGCAAACTTTGACATCACTGTCAGGCTGCTCTGGGCCTTTCCCTTTGTCTTCAGCAAAACACACTGACATTTGTTTTCTTCATAGCACGCAATTGCATTTAGATTTTACTATTTAAAAAAAAAAATTCCTTCATAATTTCTCATAGGTTTGGGTAAGTGAAGAGAACTTTTCTCAGCGAAAATGAGAAATCTCTTACAGGGTAACAACCCAAAGTATGACTCGCTCGGGAATAAGGCAGCGTTTGCCTTAGATTTATTTAATGTCAGAGAGGCAGGCTTTCTCACTTCCCTGCTCTCTGATAAGATTTTCTGTAATACATCTCTCAGCAGAAGGCACTGACTAGTAAGATCCTAGTCAGGGAAGAGTGCAGTATCACACTGAATGTCTGGATTGCATTGCTACGTTGTAGTTCGAATTGCATGGCTACAGTATCTGATATTTCTAAAGCACCATATCCTCAAGGATCTTGTAACATCTTCTCAACAGCAAAGAAGCCACAAAACTGTGCTCTAATCTTTCTGCTCAGATTTTTTTTTTTTTTGGTGCCTAGTTTCATGTGAATTAAACATCAAATTTACAGTTTTTCTTCCTAGCAGCTTGGACAGGCAGGGGACTCTGATTTTGCTTTACTGAGGGGAACTTGGGATCCGGAGAGATTAAGAGGATTTTTTTTTTCCTAAAAATGTGTTTGGATTCTTTAGCAAATACAACATTGGACACAGCGTTCTTCCATCCTAGTCCAGGATGGACCATCCCTTCTTTTCTATGAGGAAAGGAAAGCACAAGGTTTTAATCGTATACTTTAAGCAAAGGGCAGAAGGCAGAGTGTATGTGGCATGGAAAGGGTACAATAAACAAAATTGGGCCTGGGGGAGTTGAAGAACAATCTAATTGAGGAAATTCAATTAGGAACAAGTTACTTAATTTTTTTTTCTTAATTGGAGGGAGAATGCTATCACGAGCTAAGCTTCTACACCCATTTCCTCCTTCAGCTATCTCTTCTGCTCTGCCAGTAGCAGGTGCCAGTGCCCCCTCCCAATGCATGACACATATCTGCCCATCATAGGACAAGACTTCTCCTGACCCTGTCACATAAGATGCCTGTGCCCGACCCTGCTCCTCTCCTGCCGTACCCTGCATTCCCAACCTTGGACCTCCCATTGGCAGGGTCATGGCCAACATGAGGCACTAGACATGCTGATATAGGTGGAAATTATACCAAGTAAACAGAAAGTTTCTGTAGCGGAGGAGGCAGTGAGCACAAATGGGAGGAATGGCGACAGAGACAGCATGAAGTGAAGCTGTTCTTTCCCAGCAGAATGGGGGCGTAGGATCGCTTCCTCTCCCTGCTGCCCAGTGCACTGCTCAGCTCCTTCCTCTTTGAATTGGGTCTAGGATGAGCTTCCTAGGGGAGCTGCAGCAAAAAATCCCAACCAAGAACGAACTAAACTAAGGATATACTGCAGGAAGGATTTAACAGGCTGTCAGTAAGGTGGATTTGTTTCTAAGGCAATTCACAGTTTGGTACTGATAATAAGAACTGAAAGCAATGACTTGATCAGAACGAGGGCAACAGTTTTCTGGTTTGAGGGAACTGAAGCTCCCACGTGAATTGTCCTTGCTGCCCCTTGTGTCTCCGTTCCAGAGCACAGCACTTCTCTTTCCAGGAGAAACACCGTGCTGAGTGAACTGAGTTTGTCACTGAGCTCCTTCAACAGACATTTGGATCATTTACTTAGGCCGAAGTTTACATCAGACTTGTCTCTGCTCTTCTCAGTTCTAGTGCAACAGGCATTCTTTTTGAGAGGAGACAACAGTGCTGATTTATTTTGTCGGTGCTTATATACTTAGGTAATGTAAAGTCTTTGCAGAAACACCATAGTTAATAACCTATGGCAAAATGTATGAGTGAGATGATAACAGCTTTCTACCCATGAACCAAGCCTCAGGAAATTAAAGAGTGGAATGTATTTTTGAGTAGTTATTTTAAAACAGGGTATCTAGTTTCATGACATAATTATTTGGATTTTTTCAGCATCTCAAATACCATTTTCTAAACTCAAAATAATCTGTATTCAGTACTGTCATACCCAGTCCAAGATCCATCTGCTATATTTTGTTTATACTTACATTATTAATGACTGCTGAAATAAAGCCCACGCATGACATTTTAATTGCAATACAGAAACTTAGTGTGAACTAATCGTCCTTGAATTTCATTTAGCACAGTTTTGTTTAAAGCATTCATCCATTTAACTGAACGAAATCACTTAATAATCTAATGTTTGGAGCCACTGAATTATAGAACTGTTATACTTTGGTCACTTCATAGCAGCGTGCCGTTACTCATACAAAATATATGTGGTTTACAATAGGAAAGGAACACCTAACACTACCTTTCTACGTATCAACTGCTCCAGCATTCTGGCACACATATAATGTTTTGCCTCATTTGTCAGCTGTCTCAGCATTCACGTTTAAGTAAATGCAAAGAATTTCTATACTGTGAATCAGTACGATGACAAGACTGGATGGCATAGTTTAAGTCTGTGGAATGAACCAAATGATTACTATCAAGAAATCTAATTACTGAGTCATCAGATGTGCAAGATGCCAAAAAGTGCATGAGGCAGAGTACAAATAGTCTACTCAAGTTTGACACAAGATTCAGATTTTGATTTAAAGGCTTTTTCTTTTTTTTAATTTAAAAATCCCCTATGTTATACTATCCTTTGCCAAAGTCAATACCAAGTGCAGCAGTCAATTTTCCCAAATGGTTTGCTAAGACATTTAAATAGTTTGACAAAATTATCTAATTCACTTGAAAATGTTCTAACAAAATCTGACTTCATTACCAAATGTATTTATTCTGGCTTTATACAATCTGAAGAGTATTTTTTCAAATTCTGGTATGAAGTATATGCTAGACCAAAAAATTTCACTTATATTGATATTAATTAAACTAAAAGTTTGTGACTGAGAAATATTTTGGCATCCAGAAAGAGGGCTTGTCATGATCCAAGTTTAAATATATTTATTTTTTATTTCAGATAGCAAAGGTTTATTTTAACATTTCTTGTAGCATATGCCATTTATAATGTTGAGCTCGGTTTCGTTTTGCCCATTGCAAAAATAGTCTATTTTGATTTGTAGCAGAATGAAGAGAGAAAAACAGCTTTCAGTATTAAATCTGAGGCTAATGTTGCATTTGGCTTGCTTTCTACTATTTTTTAAGCTGTTATTATCTAAGTAATCTAAAAGCATACTTAGTTTAATTTGTAAGCTATCTCTGTAAATTCCAGTTTAGAATATTCTGTGTGATAAATTATCAGCTCAAATAAAACTGATATGACTGGAGTTAAGTGAGTTTGAGTGGTGGCACCAAGTTAGGGATTTGCACCAATTTAGCTTAATGACTTAACAAGGTCACTTTGTAGGATCTGAACACGGTCCCTCTATATGTGACTGTGAGAGCCTCTGTCACTTGTGTCGCCCATAACAAACAGCACTTATGTTCTCAGAAGAAACTGGGGGCACTGACAAATAAGAACTTTATTGGGAAGGTGATGTGTCTCCGAGGGAAAGGAAAGTGAAACTATTTTCTTATATTCCTGTGGTAATTTAGGTCATTTCTGCTCTGTAAACACAACACTAAATGAAGAACTAGTGGCATTAAGACATCTGTAATGTCCGTAGGTGATGATTAATGAGAACTCTCAACCCAGTCTTGTGAGCCTTTAATATAAAGGAATAAGTAGGCAAGGTTAGAGGAAGTAGCTTACACAACTCCCTTTTGCTGGAGCTTCTACTAGCTAGCTGTGACTAGTACAAGCTGTGTTCCAGACCCTCGTGGAGATCCACTTACCCACACAAAAATCACAATAAACAGGACTTAAAAACAATCAAGCAAAACCAGATATTTTAATCAGGCTGTTTAAACATCAGAATGTTAGTTTCCTTGCTTCTTAGCACCTGTTAATTCAAATACCACAGAAATACCTAAATGTCAAGAGTTGTCTGTTAAAAAATTAGTTCTTTGTTTCTCTTAACATAAAGTAACACAAAGTACACAGAAGCCCCCTTCTTGCTCAACCAGGGAACACCAGATTTGAAATTTCTGATATTTTAAAGGTCGAAAACAAATACGCTGGATAAAATCTCGTGTGTTAGATTTAGATAAGTACAACTATCATGTTATACTTTGGCAGTAAGAGTCTGTAAGCCAGCTCCTACCCACGCTTCAGCCCTGTTAGATACTTTGCCAGGACCCTGTAAGGTGCCTCCATGTCAAAGAGGAATCTGGTCCAGCCCCCTCTACCTTCTCTTGGTGAGCTGCAGAGCTGGGAGAAGGCACCCACCGACAACCCCAGTTCTCTGCGCTGGGATTGGTTTTGGCTTCAGCTTTGCTGGTAGATGATGATGGCCTATAACGGGTTTGGTGGGTGCTTGCTCATCAGATGGGACCAGATACAAATTGTGGCTCTAAGAGTTTCACTGTTATTTGCAAGCAGCTAGTTTTCTGGACCATGACTGTTTCTGGGATAAGATTTAAGAAATTGCTCTAAAACCAGTAAAAGAAATGGGAGAAATTCTTTTCAATATATTAGGCTTTTCAATATATTAGGCTATCTCCTTAAACTGCCAGAATCCAGGCCAGGTAGGAAAACACAGTTTTGTATCTAATTCTCCTTACTTTAAGAGATAATTATGTGTTCTGACTACTTACATCTATTTTTTCTTAATCTTCGTAAGTTTGTGAGCTTACATAAATAAATTGACTAGGAACTGGCGTGTTGCTAGAGTC